TAGGTGACGTCACATAAACCTTTTTGTCCTCCTCGTATTTACATTGCATACATCATGATATAAACTGTAAATCTACCGATTGTTTTATGATTCATTTTTCAGAGGTGTTTAAACATTAGAACTATTATATCGTTCAAATATTTTGATTTTCTCCACACTTATGCTTGTCACATGCATATCCGAAAGTTCCACCATTTGTTAGCTTCTCGTCTCGTGCATGCTATAAGTTACTGTCATTGTTTGAATGTGCAGACGTTTACTTTAGTTAGTAATTTCACTATTTATTAATAAAAACTTATAATCCAGAAACATTCTAAAAGAAAAAGCGTAACTTTCTGTAATTAACTGAATTAATTAATTGAAGGAATGAACCTCAACTCAGATATTGTAATTTACCACACACCTTGAATGGAATGTTGTTTGGTCAAGTGACCTGGGAGGATCAGATACATCTGACCTCTACCTCCCTTCTTGATTATTGATTTGGTTCTTGAGTGTTGGATGAAGTCCACATTAATTCCTTAGTATAAAACAGCCCGGTAACTAGTAAAACCCGTTCTTACATCATGAAGTCACTGTATGCGTCATTCACACACGCGAGTGACCCTTTCATGCCATGTCCATGAATGTACATACCGCTGTGCCACTGGGGGGCTTGCAAGGATATAAAGAAATACTTATGTTATACCACATCCCTCGCCAAGCGATAAATATTACACTTCTCTTGGAATGAAATAAAGAAATACTTATGTTATACCACATTCCTTGCCAAACGATAAATATTACACTTATGTTGGAATGAAATAAAGAAATACTTATGTTATACCACATCCCTTGCAAGGAGATAAATATTACACTTCTCTTGAATTGAAATAAAGAAATACTCATGTTATACCACATCCCTTGCAAGGAGATAAATATTACACTTCTCTTGGAATGAAATAAAGAAATACTTATGTTATACCACATCCCTTGCCAAGCGATAAATATTACACTTCTCTTGGAATGAAATAAAGAAATACTTATGTTAT